AAAAAAAAAAAAAAAATTGGACCACTAGGCATCTACCCAGAAGAGAAAAAGTATGTTATCATAAGGACATTTGCACTACATTGTTTATCTCAGCTCAATATATAATCACCAAGATGAGGAAACAACCTAAATGCCCATCAACCCAGGAATGGATAAATGTGGTCTATGTATACCATAGAATATTTTTCAGCCATAAAAAGATGGAGACTTTATAGCTTTTGTATTAACTTGGATGGAGTTGAAATACATTTTTCTTAGTAAAGCATCACAAGAGTGGAAAAGCAGGTACCTAATGTATTCAATGCTAACATGAAGCCAGTAGACCATCTAACACGTGCCCACCTAAGAGAAAAACTCAATTCAATTCCAATTGTGGGAAAGGGATGGAGAGAGGCGGAGGAGGAAGGGGGATTGGTGTGCTCCCACTTAATAGGCACAATGTAAAGGGTATACACACCTCCTGGGAGCGGAACACAACTAAGGTAGGGACTCTACCTAACACATGCAAATATTATAACCTAATTGTTTGTATCTTCACATTAATCTGAAATAATAAAATCATAAACAACCCCTTGAACCTGGCCCTTCTCTGCATTCTCCAACTCAATCTTTCACTCTGTCCTTGTTGAACCCTAAATCTGGCCATGCCAAACCAGTGCCCTTTTCTGATGAGCCCTGGAGACAGCTCCCCTTGTGTGAAAGTCCTCACTCCACCTCTAGCCCATCTCACTAATCCCTGGCCATCTTGCAAGGCTGAGTTCAGTGTCATCTAGGGAACATTTCCAGAGCATCTGTGTACATCTAAGGTCTCCCTTTTTTATGTCCCTTGAGCTTTGGCATGGGCTTCTGTAATAACATCTTAAACATTAAATTGTATTTGTGTTTAGGAACTCAAGGTGCCCGAGGGCAGGTACCTATTTTTATTCAAATTTTTGCTCTATTGTTAAGGACTTAAGCATTAACACTTAACAGAAATTTGTTAAGTGGTAACAAATTTAGGTCATCCTTTTAGATGATCTAAAAAGAATATTCAGATTCTCGGTTTTATTTTCAACTTCTTGTCCTTTTCTGATGTGCCCCTCAATGGCACATTTTTATCATACACTGCACTTCAGCCTTTTTCTTGGGTCTGCTCTTTTCCTTTTAGTCTTTTCTTTAGAAATGTTTGGCTAATTTAATGGGCGTTTCTAATACCTTCTCCCGGTTGATCATCTCTCCTAGTTTTTTCCTATCCATAATTGAGAAATCTGCTTCATTTCTGGCTACTCCCATTCTCCCTCAACTATGTATATTCCAATTTTAATCCTTTGAACACTAAGAACACAATCCCCAAACACATTCACATATACATACAGGCAACGTTTGCCAAGCATAGGTCTGTATCCTGCCAGGTAGCTATAGTTTGACTTATTTTAGTAGGAGTGTTTGGAAGATTCAGAACATGTTTTGACTTGAAATGGAAGGCATAATAGCTTGCAAAGTTTGTGTGCCAATGAAAATCATTAAGGTCAGTATCCCAGGGATGCTGTGCATGGTTAGAGATCCTGACTCAAAACTGGGGGTTAGGGAAAACGGTTATTCAGTAGGTATTCTAGCATGTCTGAACATGTAGGCTGGACACAATTGCTCATCCCTGTAGTCCTAGCACTCTTTTGAGGCCAAGGCAGGTAGATTACTTGAGCTCAGGAGTTGAGACCAGCCCCTCTGCTACCAATAGAAAAAATGAGCTGGCGTTGTAGCAGGTGCCCATAGTCCCAGCTAGTTGGGAGGTTGTGGCGCCGGCCACACACACCTTGGCTGGAGGGTTCGAACACAGCCCAGGCCAGCTAAATAACAATGACAACCGCAACAAGAAAAGAGCTGGGTATTGTGGCGGGTGCCTGTAGTTCCAGCTACTTGGGAGGTTGAGGCAAGAGAATCGCTTAAGCTCAACAGTTTGAGATTGCTGAGAGCTGTGACATGACAGCACTAAAAAAAAAAAAAAAAAAGTCTACGTGTAGACAATATAGAGCTAGTCCCTAAACTCAGACTGCCTGGGTTCACTGCTTATTAGCTTTGCCACTAATTAACTGTATTACCTCAAGTAGGTTACTTTACCCCTTCACCTCAGTTTCATTATCAGTAAAACAGAGATAATGACAGAATTTACCCCTCCCCCGGATTATTTTGAAAACTAAAGAGTTATTTTGAACTGGATATATACAGTTAAGTGAAATGTAGTGCTTGGTTATCTTTTATTCAGTCACTTTATCAGAATCTCTGTTCAAAATAAGGAATCAAAACCTTTATCATGCAGTTCTATGAAGCTAGGACTCAATGTTACATAACACATCTTACAAATTTTCGCATTCCACGCCCCACCTCCGGAAAACTGAATCCGAGCGCCCGCTTCAATGTCTTTCCCCTCTCTAAATCTAACGTTTCCGTCTCCCAAACCTTCAGAGTTTAGCATTACGCCGGGAAATAAGGAATGAGGGCAGAGAGCCTGGCCGGTTTGTTTGTTTACAGGGCACGCAGTCTAATCTAGATGCAGCGGCTATCTCGAGCTGCCAGGGAGGAAGGGAAGGCAGTGTGGGGAGAGGACAGAGTCTGGGCCAGACAGAGGAAGCCACACCCAGTCTCTGCCGGGCCAGCACCGGCGACAGTGACAGTGACCACAAACATAGCAACCACAACAACCGCCTGCTGGACTTCGCTACCCTAGCCGAGGGGCAGCGGCCGGAAATGGCCCTCCCGAGGGGGCGGGGAAAGGTGCGTTAAGGAGGAGCCAGAGGCGGACGGCCAATGGGAAATGAGTGTCCCCGAGGTGAGGGCGGAAGAGGAGAGGGCTAGTTCCGGACGCGGCCGCTGCCACCGCCACCGCCACCGCCGCCGCCATCTGTCACCTCAGCTCCGGCACCAGTAGCCGGTAGCCTCCGCCCCGTCTGCCGCCTCGGCAGAGCCTCCTTCCGGTCCTGCCACCTCTCTGCTCTGTTCTTAGCGCTATCTTCGTCCCCCAATGGATCTGGTCGGAGTGGCATCGCCCGAGCCGGGGCCGGCAGCGGCCTGGGGACCCAGCAAGGTGAGTGGCCAGTGGAGGCTGGCGTACCTGCCTTGGTCACCTGTGCTTGTTCCCTCGGAAGGCTGGGGAGGGCGGCTTCGTAGGCAACTCGAGAAGTCCTGGGGCGGGATCCCGGCCCCTCGGCAAGGGGGCACTGGCCGTGGGGCTGCGGGGTGGGCGCCGGGGGAGTGGGGGAAAGGCGGCGGCGGGCGGCCGCGGACCCCAAAAGCCACCTGCGTGGTTAGGGCTTTCTCTGTTTCTTTCTCTTACTTTCTGAATGTCGGTAGCGTATGTTTGAGCAGGACTGGCTTACAGACGCTGACATTTGAGGGGAAACAAGCACGATCTTGTTTTTCACGGGCTCAATGAGTCAGCCGAACACACAGAAAGCCAGACAGAAAGTTGGTTTAGGAAGCCGTTTCCTTAATTTGACAAGTGTGGTTATCCCAGTTCAGTACTTTCTTGTCTTAGGAGTGGTAAAACATAAAACCCCGCGCACTCCTCCCTCGACACTAATATTCAAGTGTACACTACAGGCTGTAAAACGGTTACAAATTCTCATGGTCTGCCTGGGCTTTTATGTTTAAACTTTTTCTAGAATGGCAAACTGAAAACGTGTATTTCACATCATGATACTTTCTTTAAAAGGATGAAATGACTTTTCTGCCACTTTATTGGAGGTTTGCTTTAGAATGCTTCCATTGGCATTTTGTGTGTTACAAATTAAGGTTGTGAAGGAATCCAGCTTTTTAGCTTCATATTCTTTCATGCAAAGACAAAATATTTATTCCATTTAAAGGGTCACTTGTTAATCTTACTGGGTCTTTAGGCTTGGTCTTAACCAAAAAAAAAAAAAGTAAAGGAAAATTAATTTTTGTGAAAGTTCTCATACAATTGTCAGAAGAATCTAAGATATTCCATTAGCAGATGAGGTCACATTAACATGTTATTTCCGGGCACGTTTTAAGGTTTTGCTTACGGGGTCAAGATCAGAAGAACAAATCCATAGACAGAGATTAGTAAATATTTTCTCTGCGCCTTTAATTCTTCCAGTTAAGTATCAACAATGGCTGGTAAAAATGTCAGAAGAGACAAACTGCTCAGAATACATCCTCTTACCTCAGAACAGATTTCACTGGCAAAACTAATTGGCTCATACCTGTATTCCCAGCTCTTTGGGAGGTGGAGATTGATGTATGACAGAGGAAATGGCCCCCCAAAAAATACCAAAAACATTTTTTTGTCTCTTTAAAACTTCCCCCACTCCTTTTGGGAACTAAAGCTTGTGTTCCTGCCTCAGGCCAGTAGTGGGGAGGGGCAGAGGAACGTCTTTTGCTATCAAGACAATATCCTAAAACCTAGATAGCCTTCCCTTTAAAAGCTCTGTTCAGCTTATGTACTGCACAATTTAGTCTGGAGTCTCCACCTCTTCATTTGCCAGCAAATTAGTAAACTCCTCTTTTCTTCTTATCAAACCACTTTTTCTACTTCTCATGTGTCCTTGAACTACTTGTCCTTCTGATGTGGCCTGGAGGGCAAGTACCAAGTATAGATTAAGGGATGAGCTTTAGTTAACAGGAGGATCATTTGAGTTTAGGAGTTCAGGACCAGCCTCAGCACCATGGCAAGAGCCCGTCTCTACAAAATAATTTTTTTTTTTTTTTTGAGACGGAACCTCAAGCTATCCCTCTGGGTAGAGTGCCATGGCATCACAGCTCACAGCAACCTCCAACTCCTGGGCTCAAGCGAGTCTCCTGCCTCAGCCTCCCAAGTAGCTGGGACTACAGGCGCCCGCCACGACGCCCAGCCATTTTTTGGTTGCAGCCATCATTGTTGTTTGGCGGGCCCAGGCTGGGGATTTGAACCCGCCACCTTAGGTGTATGTGGCTGGCGCCTTAGCCGCTTGAGCCACAGGCGCCGAACCTACAAAATAATTTTTAAAAGACTAATTTAATAATAAAATACATTACATCAGTTATATTCTTAATCATACATCAGTTAACTCTATAGTTAAACGGCTCACACCTCTAATCCTAGCACTTTGGGAGGTGGGAGGATTGCTTGAGCTCAGGAGTTGGAGACCATCCTAAGCAAGAACGAGTCTCTTTCTCTACTAAAAATAGAAAAATGAGCCTGACAAGGTGGTAGTCCCAGCTATTCAGGAGGCTGAGGCAGGAGGATCACTTGAGCCCAAGAGTTTGAGATTGCTGTGAGCTAGGCTGATGCCATGGCACTCTAGCCTGGGGCAACAGAGTAAGACTCTGGCTAAAAAATAAATAAGTACAAACAAATAAATAAATAAGTAAAAAATATAAAATGGGGATGACGTCCCAACTACTCAGTTGTGTGACTTAAATAATCTATGTAAGTATGCATACTTCCCAAGTGACTTAAATATATCAAAATTCAAATGTTATCTGTTACGTGGCTGTAAGTCATGGCCTAATTCAATTGAGAATTCTGAGTCAAAGCATATAGCCTTTTGGAACCTGTACTTGGACTTTGAAAGTGATCCAATGAAGCATTTCTAGGCTAAAAGGCATTGTATCTTCTGTAGATGCAGGGGTCCTCAAGCTTTTTAAACAGGGGGCCAGTTCACTGTCCCTCAGAGCATTGGAGGGTCAGACTGCAGGCCCTGGGACGAGTCAGCTGCTAAGCAGGACAGGCAGTGGGGGCAAAAACACCTGGCGGGCTGGATAAATGTCCTCCGCAGGCCGCTTGTGGCCCACGGGCCATAGTTTGAGGACACCTGAGTCCTAGAGGGTACAGAAGGAAGTCAGCAGAGTCATGTGGCCAGAGATAAGCCATGTTCTCCAGATTATAGAGCTTCAAGATTCCACACCTTCAAATCCTCCCAGGAGAGTGCTCAATTGCTGATAAACTCTGTGTGAATTAAAGTCCCCCCAGACTTTCAGGAAGCCTCCTTGTTTTTTCCAAGCCTATCCTTACTAAGGCTGGGACAGTTCTGCAATAGGCTATTGTTGATATGTGCTAGGGGCAAGGTGCAGCTCTTTGATCTCAGGGGAAGGCTAGATAAAACTTGATTCTGATTCATTCAGGCGTGAATATAGTTATCATTTATCACTGTTAGTTGTTCCACCCAGACAATGTGAGCCAATAAATTCCTGAATGTGTCAGTGCTGTGGAACCTGAATAAAGGTCGCTTGCCCACTCTGTCCAGTCAAACCGACAGGCCCTTACCTTAGACTAGCTGGAAAGCCTAACCTGGCTAAAATTGATTAAATAACATTGTGTCTAAAACAGATACCATCATCTGCAGTATCCTAAATTAGACACTCAATAGTTAAGGAATGAATTTGGACTTTATTGAAAGGCAGGGAAACAGTGAAAGATACAGTTTGGGTCACCTTCTTTTAAAACCAAACTAATCAAATGTGCATTGGGGTAGAGTGCTGCGGCGTCATCATGGCTCACAGCAACCTCAAATCTTGGCACAGAATCATGGAAGAGGGTTGAAGAGAGCCAGGCAAGTTTCAGAGATAAGCATCTTACTCAATATTAATGGTCTTCGTCACCAGACTATAAAAGGTAATTAGGTGCTGCTAAGTAAATCAGCTTTCCCCCACAAAATTATGAATTGTGAAATAAACTGTGTCAAGAAGGCTGAGGCAGGGATGCCATTGGGGAAAGCTAGCTGAATCTCACTGAACATTACTTGGGTGTATTTATATTATTATTATTATTATTTTTATTTTTTTCCTGACTGGGCAAATGAGTCTTTATCAGCTTCTAACGTTTAAACATAGAATTTGCATTATTCTTTGTTTTTGTTTTTATTTTTAGCGTATCCTAAGATGTCTTGAGAGGGGCTGACATACTTTGTACACTTCAGATTTAATGCTTAAATTAGAATGGGGTATAACTTCTCAGTGGGCTTTTAATTGTGCTGGCTTCTAAAAGAACATCTGTGTGGGAAGCCAGATTATAAGCAGCAGGTAGCTTGGTGAGCTAGGAATTAGAACAAGAAGAGTTTGTTCACTGAGCTTGCTGCCTCAGTGAGGGGATGCAGTAGTAGCTTGGTGCTTCCCTGCAGCTGTAAGGGCATACCTAGCAATCCACCTGGCAAAGTGCTTTTGGCTGTTTTAGCTGCACTAAATTTGACCGGGGAGGTATTTTTACTTTTGAGATGATTCCTCCAAATAGCTAATCATTCATTTTGGGTTTTTAACTACATAGTTTTAATTCTTAAAAGGTAACCTCATTTGCAAGTTGGAAGGTACTTTATTTCACTATTATGAATTGAGCCTTTTTTTTTTTTTTTTAATATGTAGTGTCCATGGGCTACTCCTCAAAATACAATATCTTGTTCTTTGGCTGATGTAATGAGTGAACAGTTGGCCAAGGAATTGCAGTTAGAAGAAGAAGCTGCTGTTTTTCCTGAAGTTGTGTAAGTAAAATTCACAAAGTTTCTATTTTATCTAGCAGCTTATTATAGCAAAGTTCTAGGATTTGATGAGTGATTGTCATGATAACTGAGTAAGAAATACATTTAGAAAAGCAGTACAGTAGGGGCCGGGTACCTGCTGTAATCCTAACCCTTTGGGAAGCTGAGGCAGGAGGATCACTTGAAGCCAGGAGTTCAGCATCACCCTGAGCAACATAATGAGACCCCATCTTGACAAAAAATTAAAAAATTAGCTGGGCATGTACGGGAGGCTGAGAGAGGAAGGTCGCTGGAGCCTAGGATTTTAAGGCTGCAGTGAGCTATGATCAGGCCACGGAACCACAGCCTGGGTAACAGAGTGAGATCCTATCTCTAAAGAAGACAAATAGTGCAGTGGAAAGAGCACCACACCAGGAGTCTACTGATACTTGAATTTTGGCGTTAATTTTGTGATTGGTTTTCATTATCTTGGACAACCCGCTGTTTCTCTGGTATTTAGTTATTTCATATTAATGCAACAGTTGAACTAGATGAGGTACAATTTTGACCTCAAGTGTTGTAGTTTATCTTTTCATAAATATTTATCTCTCCTTTGATTAGAACACAGAACAAATAAATTCTGGGTCTCAGTTTGGATTTTATTATAGACCTTTTAGTTTTTTCTCCAGCTTTCTTAATCCTCGTTGGTGCTCTTTACAAGTGCACGCCATTGATCTTGAGTCTGGCTGGGCAAGAGAAAGTGGATGTTTGGTAGAGTTCTTTCCCATTGTTCAGTACAATTTTAACACCAAAAAGGTGCATTCTTCTCTCATGATTGGTAGCCTCCGTTTACTCAAGTACATTATATTAGTTTATGTTGCCTTATTTTGAATAGTGTTGCTGAAGGACCATTTATTACTGGAGAAAACATTGACACTTCCAGCGACCTAATGCTGGCTCAGATGCTACAGATGGAATTTGACAGAGAATATGATGCACAGCTTAGGCGTGAAGAAAAAAAATTCAATGGAGATAGCAAAGGTACTCTAACCTTATTGTGACAACTCCATTGAGTGGTAGAAAAGGCTTGTAATGTGCTCCTAAACATTCAACTGTTTTTGCCTTTTAAGTTTCCATTTCCTTCGAAAATTATCGAAAAGTGCATCCTTATGAAGACAGCGATAGTTCTGAAGATGAGGTTGACTGGCAGGATACTCGTGATGATCCCTACCGACCAGGTATCAATGCATTCATTTTCCAGGGGGGTAGGATGGGGTACAGGAAAATTATGTTTTCCAGTGAACCCTTTAGTTTTTTATTTTCCTTTGAATCTCATTTGGTAATTTACTCTTAGATTCAAATGTCTTTTTAGACAATGTTGAATGCAGCAATTTAGTCTTTACTATTTTTATATACTTCGCTTGTCTTAATTGCCTTTAGCAAAACCAGTTCCCACTCCCAAAAAGGGTTTTATTGGGAAAGGAAAAGACATCACCACCAAACACGATGAAGTAGTATGTGGGAGAAAGAATACAGCAAGAATGGAAAATGTAAGTTACAGAAAGTATCTATCTCTGAATTGAGAGTTTTGTTTGCGTAAGTTTTGAAAATAGGATTCTAATAAATAGAATGTCTTAAATTTCCCAAAATATTTTTCTTCCTTTCTAAAGATGTTTTAGATAACAATATAGCAATGTCATGAAAATTCAGCCAGTAGTGAGAATATGAATTACCTCAAATAAAATTCCACAGCAATGTTGAAAAAACTAATTTGATTTACATTAATTCTAGGTGTTTTTTTTTTTGTTTTTTTTTGCCAGGGCTGGGTTTGAACCCACCACCTCTGGCATATGGGGCTGAGGCCTTACTCCTTTGAGCCACAGGTGCTGCCCAATTTACATAGATTCTAAAGTCAAGAAATAAAATAGTTCTTATGAAAGTAACCTTCATTCTAAAGTGTATTATTTTCCACAAAATAGCATCCCTTTCTAAGAAACACAATAGCGGTGATTCAGGGTTAGGAATGGGAACAAGAAATGCTTTTTACTATAGAAGCCCTTTTATGCTTCTTGATTTTTTTCTTATGCCTGAATTATCCCTGCAAAGTCAGAAATAACATAAATTTAAAAAATATTATTCTGACTCTTGGCTCAATGCCTGTAGCTCAGTGGCTAGGGCGCTGGCCATATACACTGGAGCTGGCAGGTTCGAGCCCATTCCGGGCCTGCCAAACAACAACGACAACTACAACCAAAAAAATAGCTGGGCATTGTGGCGTGTGCCTGTAGTCCCAGCTGCTTGGGAGGCTGAGGCAAGAGAATCGCTTAAGTCCAAGAGCTGGAGGTTGCTGTGAGCTGTGACGCCACGGCATTCTACCCAGGGCGACATAGTGAGAGTCTGTCTCAAAAAAGAAAAAAAAAATTATTCTGACTCTTTCATAAATATTGTGATTAATATAAAACATTTAGACTAGGACACAAGTTTTTGTTAAGTAAACGTATCATTTCTAGGAATATTCTAGATCTGACTCTAGAACAGTGCTGTCCAGTTCCTGTAATAGTGGAAATGTTCTATGTCTGTGCTATCCAGTAGAGTAGCCAGAAACATTTGCTGTCGAGCACTTAAAACTTGGGTGATGCAATTGAACTGAATTTTAAATTTAATTTTTTTTTTTGGTTTTTTTGCAGTTTTTGCCCCAGGGCTGGGTTTGAACCCACCACCTTGGGCATATGGGGCCGGCGCCCTACTCCTTTGAGCCACAGGTGCCACCCAAATTTTAAATTTAATTTTAGTTAAACTTAAATACATGTGGCCAGTAACTATCTGCAGCCTGTTTGGGTTGTACAGTTCTAGAACGTAATTGTCATGGCGGGATCATGGTGTGGGTGGGGATAATTCAGTATACTGACCCACTCCTCAAAAACAATTATGAAATTTTATTTCTTTGCTAAGGTTTGGTTCAGCCTTTGCAATATAGTATTGTGTTCCTTGGCTAATGTAAAAGCAAGGTACAAAGCGTATGCACTTTACATAGCTGAAAGACCTTCATTTTAGATGTGATTAGATGTGATTAGATGTACAGGGGGCCCATAAGATTGTGTGCAATTTACCATGTTAAACTATTTTAAATCGCACATGAACTTAATAGATATCCTGTATTATATGTGTAGAATAAATACCTTCCTATGGGTTACACTTTTTTTTTTTTTTTTTAAAGACAGTCTCACATTGTTTTAGCTGGCCCAGACTGGGTTTGAACCTGCCAGCCTCTGTGTATGTGGCCGGTGCCCTACCCACTGAGCTGTGGACACCACCTGGGTTACAATTTCTTAAGTAGTATTGCTCCCCTTTCTGTTAGTGAGTTATTTTTTTCTCTTTAGTACTTATGGATTCTGCTTTTGTAGTATGATCACCTGTTGAGTAAGAAACCTAAGTTAAGAATAACCTTGTAGATTGAATTTTACAGTCCCTATTTTAAAGTATTTAGATGCTAATTCTTCTTTTTGGCAGTTTGCTCCTGGGTTTCAGGTAGGAGATGGAATTGGAATGGATTTAAAACTATCAAACCATGTTTTCAATGCTTTAAAACAACATGCCTACTCAGAAGAACGTCGAAGTGCCCGCCTTCATGAGAAAAAGGAACATTCTACTGCAGTAAGCATTCATATTTTTTTCTTCTTTAATGGAAAGATTCATATTAGAAAACTTTATGTTTGGGGAAAAAAACAAAACTGCATGTTTGATACTTTTTCATGAGATTAGCTTTTCAAATCTAAGATGTAAATCCAAGTGAGTTTACAGTTTGGCTTTTAAGATTTAATGTGCGGATTGTTAATCACTTATTCAAAACTAACATTTAGTGGTCATAATTAATTGGACTATATCATATGTTGCAGCTGAATATTCCCAGATTAAAAAAAAAATTGTTTCCTATTACACTATTGGCATAACTTTATAGGCCATAATGTTTTATATTAATGAAGATCATGTCTAATATCTTGAGAATAAGCTAATTTATTAAACATTTAGAAAAATAATAACACTAGAAGAGTTATTTAAACTTTGGGTGTAAAATTAGATTTTGACTGTTTTATAAATTGACATGTAATAATTGCGTGTATTTAAGGGGGTATCTGAATTAGCATTATATTATAGGTATGAATTGTATCTTGACATTAGTGTTACATTTATAGTTATGAATTGTATCTTGACAGCACTTCTTTAAGAGCCTATTTTATATTCATCCAGGTAAATTAAATAATAAAAGTTAAAAAATAAAGTTATTTTAAAGCTGGGTGAGGTAGCTTATAGTACCAGTTCTTGGGAGGCTGAGGCAGGAGGATCACTTGAGCCTAGGAGTTTGAGGCCAGCCTGGGCAGCATAGTGAAAGCTTGTATCTTAAAAAAAAAAAAATCTGGGGCTAAGTGTAGTAACTCACACCTGTAATCCTAGCACTTTGGGAGGCTGAGGTGGGCAGATTGCTTGAGCTCAGGAGTTCAAGACCAGCCTGAGCAAGAGTGAGACCCCTGGCTCTAAAAGTAGCCGAGCGTTGTGGTAGGCACCTGTAGTTACAGCTACTTTGGAGGCTGAGGCAAGAGAATCGCTTGAGCCCAAGAATTGGAGGTTGCTATGAGCTATGATGCCATGGCATTCTACCAAGGGCAACATAGTGAG